AATTTTGTCACCTAAGTTGTAGACATGTAATTCGTAATCAATCAGTTTTAACCAAGTTAATTTGTAAAGTAAAATCACATTATAGGTACAATGTCGAGGGTCAAACTGCTGTAAAGTCAGACATTTCGGTTTTATTATATACAATATTCTAATAATAACTTAATAATTACAGTAAAGTTCATGAACGAGAATTATTATAATAAAATATTGGAGATTTTTATTTTATAACAATTGATTGTGAGGTTAATTTGGTCAAGGCTGTATTAAATATTTTGTCAATCTCAAGGCCTTTCTATAAACCTAAAGCATGGTTCCCATGCATAAACATTAATTAGTTGACTTGTTAGAATAGAAAAGGTTATGTATAAACAATTTAAGATTAATGTGTCTCAAGTAATTAAGCACCAATTCCAATTTTAATTTATTATTTGTAAAAAACGGGAGAAAAACGGGTGCGACCCACCAATACAGGGAAAGTCCAGATGAAGCTCAAATGAAGTTTCATCGCAAAACCAATTGGTGAAAGGAGAAGTAACCCACTAAACGTATAAAGTGAGTCTATTTTCCGTGTATAAATACTTTGAGATCATGATGGTTTTTGAAATATGAATAGTTAATAAAACCATTTCATTAACAATTATCTATGTTTTATTGAAATTTTCATACATTGAGAAAACCATGCAAACCAACATAAATAAAAATATAATATTTTTCATTATAACTATTTATTTTTTATAGACCTACTTGTTAAGATGCCTTGCACACAAAAATTTGTATGCCTATTTCATTAGGTTCTTAATTGATTGGGTAGATTTCTTCATGGGCCGGGCTGGGCAAGCAGCTGGCTGAAAAGAATTTTAACTACCAATCGACCAAGTAGAGGAAATTGCATCCCTTACATTCGCCTTTAAATTTTATTACACCTTTACACTCCATATATACTTATTTTTATTTTTTGCTAAAGACTATATCAAATATACCTAAAATCTCACTTAACACTTATTAACATGTTTTTAATGGTATGGAGATAATTAAGGGATTTTAAATATCATCTACCAAAAAAAGTGGAAAACAAAAAGGTGAAGAACCGCCCCACGTTCCCCGTCAGAAGTTTTCTGCAGAAACGGCCCCAAATTTTTTCGCCTATTTTCAAGAATCAATGGCAAAAACCAAAATCTCTCATCCTAATCGAAGAAATCCGGCAGATGTTGGCGACGTTTCACTGGTTATAAGATCT